CCTACTCCTTTTGATGGCGGTTGGGATAACCAAGGGTGGCCCTATGAGCACTTCAACCAAACCTTCCACCCTTTAATGGACAATCCCGGGTTTGATCCTGATAATCCCCCTCAACCTAGGGGGCGCGGAGATGATAGCCCGTGATGAGGGTTCCCTTCCCCCCTTCCCCCCGGTCTTCTAACTTGTAACTTTTGCTCGGGACGAGAAAAATAATAATGTGGGGGAGGATGTCCTTTTGGTTGGTTGAAGTGTACATAGGAGGGTAGAGTGGTAGGGTAGTAGCTTGCACATAAGGAGGATAGTGAGGATAGTGGCCTTGTTATTGTTGATGGCGTTGTGATTGTGATGTTGTGATGGTGATGTGTGGTGATGTGATGGCGATGATGATGATGTTTTATGATTATTTTTGCTGATTTATGATGATTTTCCTTGATGATTCTTGAGTTTTTATAGGTGGAGATGCTCCCAAGAAAAATATCTAAATTCCCGAAAATCCAAATCCCCTTAATCCAAACTTTGAAGATAGCTTTTTTTTATTATATATTTTTCTTCTTTTTGTTTATTTCTTTAGTCTTTTTCTTTGTTTTCTAACTTTTTCTTGTTTTGTTGTAGTTTCTTTTGTTTGGCTCACCTTTCTTGAAGCTTGAAAGCGGAGATGAAGGAAGTTAAGGAGCATCCCGAGCTCCCTTGGTGAGATTGGATATATTACCTTGTCTTGGTGAGACCTTTCCTCTTTTTCTTTTTTCTTTTTCTTTGAGTTCTTAGTTTAGGTTTAGTTTAGGAAGAGTTGAATGGTTCGAGGTTGATTGATTTTGGTTCTAAGGAACCTGGGATCGTTGATGTTGATATCAACGATCACTTGTATGTCGATTGGGATTTATTTGGATTACACGCCTCGATTATGAACCTTCTTAATTTCTTCCTACCTTTTTTGTGTGCTTTTATTGTTTTTTTTTTTTGTATGACAAGCATGATCATGACAAGTTGAAATATTTTTTATTTGGATTTGCTCATTCATTTGGATTTGTGGACTTGTGTACCTTCTTGATGACATGACTTTGAATGCTTACCTTCCTAGTTGATGAGGGATTACATGGTTTGAGAGTGCTTAGGGTTGAATTAGACACATAGTAAGCTAAGGTAGTCCGGTTTAGAACTCTTGAGGACATTTGAACCCCTAGTTTATGGGAAAGTGGTAAGATGGTGTTGCTCTCCGTAGTGAATAGGATTCCCTTGTTTAGTATTTGCTATATTTCTTATCTTGTGTGAGCGTCATTTTTTCTAGCCTTCATCATTCTTGTGAGCGACACTAAGGATCCTTAACTATGCATGTCTTTATCTTTGTGTTGGCGTCTAGCTCCCAAGATCGTGACCATATAACTCTAGAGGAGGAAAAGGGCATTTCTTCTCATTTTTCTTTGTTTTCTTTGTGTTTTGTTACAAATTTGGTTTTCATTTTTACATTCACCCTCTTGCTAACCAATTTGAGCCTTATTTCCCCTTTCTTGACTTAGCCATATTACAAACCTATCGGCCTATGTTCTACCAACCCTTGTAGTTAGTGAAGCATTGGCTTGTGAGGTTCGAGTTTGATAATGTTTAAATTGAGCAAGAAAGTTGTGTAATTTGATTCGAATAAGGTTTTCAAAGGCTATTCATGAAAAGAGTACGCAAAAAGGCTTGGCAAGAAAGTTGAAAGGACTTGAAACTCATGAAAACCAAGCAAAAAAAAATAAAAAAAAAAAGCGAAAAAGAAAAATGAAAAAGATTGAAGTAATGTGGTGTGGTTTGTTTTGAATGGTTGTAAGTTTGGAGAATAGGTCCAATTCTTAGGATGTTCTTGAGACATGGCCACTCTTACGCTTCACTGAGGAATTGCCACCAAAATTTTCAAATTGTTTCCCAACCATAACCCCTAGCCATGACATTACAACCCTACTTAAGACCCTTGGATTCTAGAGGGGCATGGTCAAAGGATGGTGGAGGGAGATAGATTTTAACCCTATGGAGAGAGTATGCATAGTTGAGATGTCGGGATAACCTTATGATTCCACATAAAAATTTCTTTTTCCGGTTCCCTCGAGGGATCATGAGGAGCTAACTTGGGGATTATTTGAAGCTAGTGGAGAGAACGCGGACCGTCTTAGTTGGGGCTAGGGCGGAGGATGAAATTATTAGTTCTCTACGCTTAGCTTGGGTTTGTCTCCTTAAACCATGAGCAACTTAGAACGTGTTCCCCCTCTTTGAATTGAGAAAAGTAAGATTCTTTGATACATGTCCCTCTGTTGGAGTCCATTTGGAGCATTTCCCATCGTGAAGCTTGATTGATTTTCTTAACCCTTGTCATATTATGCTTATTGTGTGTGTTGTCTTTTTTTTATAGTATTCCTTGCTTGAGGACAAGCAAAAGGCAAGTGTGGGGGATTTTGATGAGTGGCATTTATGCCACTTTTCCTTCCTTTTTCTCTAAGGATTCTCCCCTCATTTGCACTTGTTTGAGCCTTTTTAAGCATTTTTCCCTTAGTTTTGCCTTTCCCTTTCTTTTCGCGTGTTTCCTTTCCCTTTTTCTCTTTTTGTTGGGTTTTCTAGCGTTTCTTTGTCGTTTTGTAGGTTCTTGGCCTTCTTAGATGAACTTTGGAATGCATGACGTGTCGTGGAGAAGGAGCATGAAGCTCAAGAGAAGCTGAAGGAAGGAGGAATCGACTAGGTTCGGCCGAACCCCCTGAAGGTGTGGCCGAACCTAGGTGTGGCCAAACTTACTTTGTGGTGCGGCCGAACCACCTTGGCAGTTTCAAGCTGGAAAATGGCCGTTTTGCAGGAGTGACCGAACCTCAGAAGTTCACCAGACCAAGATCAGGGGAGGTTCGACCGAACCTACCCAGGGTTCGGCCGAACCTACCCTGTGGTCCGGCCGAACCTTCCCACTGTTCGGTCGGACCATCTCTTTTATTTCAGCTTCTTTGAACGGTTTATTTTAGGTGGTTTTTTAGAACGTTTTTATGTAATGGTATTGGATTATCTCAGGATCCTAGACAATTAACCCTAATCTTAGAGAGAGGTAGTGTAGTATTGCTCAAGTTATCTCATTGTATGCAACTTTGGTTAAAGCTTTCCCTTCAATCAATCAATCAAGCAACTTTGCAAGTTTTCATCTTTCATTTATTGCCTCTTTAGTAATCTCTAATCCTTTCTCTTAGTTTTGTTTATTTAGCTCCTAGTTGCTTATTTTTATTTATTTTTGTGGATTAATCTATCTTTGGTATTTTCATTGTTTTTTATCATGTTTGATTTCATGCTTCTGGTGTTTAATCATAGTTTTGCTATCATGTTTATTCCCCCTTTTCTAGGCTAATCTCTTAGCTAGGGGAAGGGGGTGTGAAATATGCATTGAATGATGGATGAATGATGACAGTTGGATTGATTACATGCCTTAAATTGATGAAAGACATGATTTTTAATGTCTTGAGATTATTGTTTCACTTTATTTGATTGCCTTCTAGTTTAAATGCATGAAAATGATTTGAACTAGATAAAGATCACCTCTATTTTAATTATTGCATGAGAATGAGTTGTTAAAATGGAGTTTCATGTATTGTGCTTCTTTATTCTCTTGATATGCTTGTGTCTAATAGGATGCATGAGAATGATCCTAATTAGCATAGACTTCTTTCATTGATTTGCCTAGACTATTGCATGAGAATGAATTGTTTAGGTAGAATCTTGTGTTCTTTTGCATGTTCATCATGATAACTATCATTGTTCCCCTCTTTCTAATCATGTTTGACACCCTCGAACCCTTAGCGTCGTTCTCTCTTGATTTTAATCATGTTTATCTTGTTTGTTATAATCCTAGTGTTTACAATCCAAAAAAACCAACAAAAAAATCCCCTTTTCACTCTTCTATTAGTGATATTTGATGCTGAATCAGCGTGCTTCCCTAGTGGTTCGACCCTTTACTTGCCACTAACTAGTTTAGTGTAGGTTTAGGTATTATAAATGATTAATTTGGTTAGGGTGGTAGCATAACGACCTATCTTATCCCAATCAGTAAGACAAGTCCAGATCCAGTTAATAAACCTTTGAGGAAAACCAAGCTCCTGCATAACAGTAATGAAGAAACCCCACTCAACTGAATCATAGGCTTTCTTCAGATCCACCTTAACCATGCATCTAGGTGAAATAAATTTGTGATCATAGCCTTTGATCAACTCAGTTGCAAGAAGGATATTGTCACCAATGTGCTTGCCAAGAATAAAACCTGCTTAAGCATCATCAATGACCTCACCAATGATAGCAGCAACTCTAGCAGTTTTGACCTTAGAAATAAGATTATAAACCATAGTGCAACAAGCTATAGGTCTAAATTCCTTAACATGGGAAGCATTACGGATTTTAGGAACAAGAGTGATAGTTGTTTAATTCCATTGCTTAGGCAAGGTCCCTTGAGTAAAGAAAGCAATAACACTTGCATAAATATCATCTTTCACAATATGCCAAGCTCTCTTAAAGAAAAAGGAGTTAAAACCATCAATACCAGGAGCTTTAGTGTTATCAATTCCCTTAAGAGAAACATCAATTTCAACATGAGAGACAAGCTGAATGAGATAGCTCTGAGCAATGGAGCTAAGTTGTTTACCTCTCCTCATAGTAACAAGATTAACAGCAGGAAGCCAAGGAACCTTAGTCCCTAAAAGAGACTTATAGAAAGAAATAATCTCATGAGAAATAGCATCCGGATCCTTAAGCAAAACCTAGTTAGAGTCAAAGATAGAGTCAATTATGTTCCTTGCTTGTCAATTCTTCATCACTGAGAAAAAATAATGGGAATTGCCATCTCCAAGCTTAATCCAGTTGATCCTAGACTTTTGTTTGAAGATGCTTTCTTGAATATCATTCTAGTGTTTGACAACCTTAATAGCATCAGATTATTTTACGTATAAATCCAAATCATCAGAATTTTGAGCCATTAAGTTCTGAATTCCAGCAAGCTCAACATTAGCTTAATCAATCTTCTCAGCAATATTGCCAAAGTGCTTGTTATTAAGAGACTTGATACTAGAATTCACAGAATTAAGCTTCTGCCAGACAGAACCACCAGAACACCAAGCATGAGAAACAGTATCAAGGAAATCAAGATGATCAGCAATACAGCTTAGAATCCTGAAAGGTTTACCTTTCCTAGCAGGAGCAAGAAAAATATCCAAAAGAACTGGACTGTGATCAGATAAAGAAGGGGGAAGATAGACAGTTTCAACATGACCATGAGAGGCCAGCCAAGCTTGGTTACCAAAGACTCTATCAATCCTAGAGAGAGTTCTAGGACCAGTGTGAGCCTTATTTGACCAAGAGTAGAAGGCTCCTTTGCTCTTGACCTCAGTGAGGTCCAAATCATCAACCAAACTCTTGAAATCTCTAGTCTCATAATCAGTAACATCAGTACCATGAAGTCTGTCTAAAGTATGAAGAAGAGAGTTAAAGTCACCAGCACAGAGCCATGGAGAATTCTGAATAGAGATGTTCCTAATCCCTTCCCACATAGGAAGCCTATCATGGATATAATGAAGCCCATAGATAACAGTGAGATGAATTTGAGTAGAAAGATCCTTAGAAAGGACACTACAATGTATAAACTGCTCATGAATCTTTAAGACATTGACAGTTACTCTATCTGCATTCCAACCAAGACAAAACCTCCCTTTAGGAGAATGATCATAATTGCACACCCAAAGCCAAGAAGAGCCAAACTTCTTTTGATAAGTGAAAACATTTTTTGATTTGAATTTCGTTTTAAGAAGACCAATAACATCAACTGAATGAGAATGAAGCAACCTCTTTACAGAGGCAACTTTGCCAGGGTCATTCAGGCCCCTGACATTCCAGATAGAGTAAATCATGACACCAAAGGGGGATTAACCTCACCCCCGCTTGGATTTAAAGTGAAACCACCTGCACCATCCATTTCATTTGCAAATAAAGCAACAAAAGCATTAGAGGTAGAAGCAGGCTGATTAACCCTAGTTTGCTGACTTTTTGTCTTCCTTCTAACTATTCTCCACCCCTCATCTGAGTTTTGAGAAGTATGATCTGTGGAGTGATAACAAATTTCCCATGAACAGAAGCATCAACATCAACAACAGGAGCAGTAGCCTGACTAGGCTTAGCAACCCAGACTTGCTGCACTGATTTAGGAGCTGCAGTCACTAACTGCTTGGGAGCTGCAGTCACTGATTGCTTAGGAATTGTTGGAGCTTTGACAGAACCGTCATGGCCAACTTTATTGCACTTAGAGAAAAAGGGTGGAGTCTATTCATAGACTACCTTAAGTTCTAGAGTTTCCTTCGAGGGGCTTTCCACAAATACAGATTTAGGCAATGGCTTGGTAACATCAATTTCTATCAGAACTCTAGCAAAAGAAACTCTTAGTTGTCTGGTAGTACATTCATCAGAACAAATTGGTATACCAAGCAAGCTACCAATACGACTAAGAGTTTCAGGACCCCAGCAATTTAAAGGTAAGTTTGGGAACTTAACCCATAATGGAATAGTTCTCAAAATCTCAGCACCAAAATCAAATTTAGGAATCCAAGGCTTAATGATTGTTGGTTTTCCCATGAACATATGCGGACCAGAGCAAAGAATAGTATCCTTATCACTAACTGAGCAACAAATAATGATAAAATACCCAACGTCATGCCAAAAAATGTCTGGTTTTTTCACATCATTCCATTGTTAAGCTATAAAACGATGGACAACAGCAATAATAGGATAATGACCAACAACATAAAAAACTAAAGCATTAGACCATTTCTTATTACCTTCCATAAGTTCAGAATCCTGCAGCTGAGCTACCTGTTTCCCATTTCGAATCACCGGGGCAACAAAGAACAGGGGAGCTCCCTTAGTAGTCAACTTCCCAGAGAATGAGCTAGGTCGATCTTCACCATCCTTGTGCAAGTTCTGTTCCGGGGGAGGTATAGAGTGACAATTGGGAATAGCTGGTTCAGATCGATGAGCAATAGCTCCAGCATCCAATGGAATAGTAAACCCAAAAACCCTAGGTACTGATTTATTGGATATCGAAGATGCTGGTGTAGAAATGGCTTCAGTAAATAGTGCAATAGTTTCAGCATCACTCCGAGGAATAGAACCACAAGATGGATTGACCAGTGACGGCGCCGGAGTGACAAGCTCATCCACCTCCTGAATCGGGCTTGGAACAAAAGTATAACCTGAGTTTTGCAAATTTTGCAAAATTGTATCTAAAACCGGATCAGTAGGATTCCTATGTTGTACTAATAGAGGTGTAGAATTGTTTTACTTCTTCTTCTTAGCCATCGGAGATCAAGATTGATGAAGAAACCGATCAAAATCGAAGAACCATGGAGAAGAGAGAGAATAGAGAAAGTCAACGAAAGTCAAACCTCGATTCAAAAAGCTTTAACTAATTTGAGCCTTATTTCCCCTTTCTTGAATTAGCCATATTACAAACCTATCGGCCTATGTTCTACCAACCCTTGTAGTTAGTGAAGCATTGGCTTATGAGGTTCGAGTTTGATAATGATGAAATTGAGCAAGAAAGTTGTGTAATTTGGTTCAAGTAAGGTTTTGAAAGATTATTCATGAAAAGAGTATGCAAAAAGGTTTGGCAAGGAAGTTAAAACTCATGAAACCAAGAAAAAAAAAAAAAAAAAAAAAAAAAAAGGAAAAAGATTGAATTAATGTGGTGTGAATTGTTTTGAAAGGTTGTAAGTTTGAGAATAGGTTCAATTCTTAGGATGTTCTTGAGAGATGGCCACTCTTATGCTTCACTTAGGAATTGCCACCAAAATTTTCAAATTGTTTCCCGACCTTAACCCATAGCCGTGACATTACAACCCTACTTAACACCCTTGGATTTTAGAGGGGCGTGGTCAAAGAACAGTGGAGGGAGAGAGATTTCAACCCTATGGAGAGAGTATGCATAGTTGAGATGTCGGGATGACCTTATGATTCCACATAAAAATTTCGTTTTCTGGTTCACTCGAGGAATCATGAGGAGCTAGCTAAGGGATGAATTGAAGCTAGTGGAGAGAACGCGGACCGTCTTGGTTGGGGATAGGTCAGAGAATGAAATCATTAGTTCTCTATGCTTAGCTTAGGTTTGTCTTTTTCAACCTTGAGCATCTTGGAACGTGTTTTCCCTCTTTAAATTGAGAAAGATAAGTATTCTTTGGTGCAATTATTTGCTTGTGAGTCCAAATAGAGCATTTCATTACCTTGAGGCTTGATTGGTTTTGCTAAAACCTTGTCATGTTATGTTTATTGTGTTTGTCTTTTTATTCCAGTTTTCCTTGCTTGAGGACAAGCAAGAGGCAAGTGTGGGGGATTTTGATGAGTGACATTTATGCCACTCTTTTATCCTTTGTCTCTAAGGATTCTCCCCTCATCTGCACTTGTTTGGCCCTTTTTCTAAGCATTTTTACCTAGTTTTGTTTCCTCTTTCCGTTTCTCCTTTGTCTTCCCTTTTCTTAGTCTTCTCGCCTACTCTTTATTTTGATTCCCATGCTTTTGTTTTGTAGGTATTTTGTGCCGAAAGAAAGTGCATTTCAATGAGCCAAGCAAACTGTTCTGCGTGTGATGTTGTGAGGCTATTGCGCGGGCGCGCAAACTTGGTTGTACGGGCGCATAGACCTGTTAGAACACGCGCAGCCAGGCTGAAGAAACAGAGCAAAACTAGAGAGTTTGCGCGACCTATTGTATGGCTTCTGTGCGGGCACGCGACCTGCTGCGCAGGGGCGCGCAGGTTTACTGTGCGGGCGTGCTTGATTTCCCTGTACCCTCAAAGTTGCGGCCGTGCACTACGCTGAGAGGGCGCACACTTCTACTGCGCGGGCGCGCATATGTCGTGTGCGGGCGCGCATCGCTGGGTTTCTTATTTCCTTGCGCCTTGTTGCCCAAGTTTCTTTCTTTCGGGGGAAGCCAAATATATATAGACGGGACTCTTTGTAATAAAGGACAGTTAGTACTAATTCCATAGAACATTAGCCTAATCTAGAGAGAGAAAATAGATTGCTATTCAAGCATCCTTTATTGTATTCAACTGTGGTCAAGTTTTAATCTTCAATGAATCAAGAAAGAATGCAAGTTTTCATCTTTCCTTAATCCTTTCTTTAGTAATCTCTTCTCCTTTCCTTTAGTATTATTTATTTGTTTTATTGTTACTTATTCTTGTTAATCTTATTAGTTTATCTAGTTGTTATTGATTTCATTGATTTTAATCATATTTTGTTTTGAGTTTCTTGAGTTTATTTCTAGTTTTGATATTGTGTTTAATATCCCTTCTCTAGGCTAAACTTTTAGCTTGGGGAAGGGGGTGGAAGATATGAGTTGATATTGGATGAATGATGATGGTTGGATTGAACTTATGCCATGTATTGATGAAAGACATGATTTTTATTAGCTTGAGATTATTGTTGCACTCTATTTGATGTTTTCTAGTTTAAATGCATGAAAGTGATTTGAACTAGATTAAGATCATCTCTATTTTAATGATTGCATGAGAATGAGTTATTAAAGTGGAATTTTTATGGATTGTGATTCTTTATTCTCTTTGATTTGATTGTAACTAATAGGATGCATGAGAATGATCCTTATTAGTGTAGACCTCTTTCATTGATTTGCCTAGACTATTGCATGAGAATGAATTGTTTAGGTAGAATCTTGTGTTTTTTGGCATGTGTTTCATGATAATCACCATCATTCCCCTCTTTCTAATCATATTGGACACCCCCGTATCCCTAGCGTCATTTTCTCTTGATTTTAATCTTCATTTTCTTGCTTTTTTTGTAGTTTTAGTGTTTTTACTCGACAAAACTAACAAAAACATTTCCCTTTTACTCTTGCATTAGTGATTATTGAATGTTGAATTAGTGTGCTTCCCTAGTGGTTCAACCCTTTACTTGCCACTAACTAGTTTAGTGTAGGTTTAGGTATTATAAATTATTAATTTGATTAGGGTAGTAGCTTAACGACCTCTCTAACCCTCGATCAACGGCCAGGTCAGGACTTATTCCTGGCATATCACCAACTTCGAATGCAAATACATCTTTGAATTCTCTCAGCAGCTGAACTAACTCATCCCCAAGCATACCCAAAGCTATAGCGCCTACACTATTGTTTGACCTGGTTGATCGGGGTCATGCACTATATCTTGGTGACTGCCGGCAGGCTAGGGCCTTAAGTCTTCTGGCCCGCAATCATTAGCTGATAGGCTTGCTCCATCTTGGCCGCCTAGCACTTCTGGCCGACATGGTATGCTGGGAGTGAAGTTCCTTCTTCTATTGGCTCGGATGATTTTGGTCCACGTGTGGTATGCTTAACAGCCAACTGATTACATTCCTTAGTCATTTTCTGACTTCCTTGGATCGTTCCAATTTTACCATCCGTCCTCTCGAACTTTAGCAGCATTAGATGAGGTACAATGACTGCCTTAGCTGCATTCGGCGTGGGACGGCCGAGTATAACGTTATATCCAGTCAGCTCTTTTACCACCAGGAAGAAGACAACCATATCTCTTCCTTCCCTTTTTTGCCCAAAGTAGACGAGTAGGTCTATCCGCCCAACTGGGTGGATAACTTTCCCCCCAAATCCTACCAACGGGTGAGTGATGTCTTGAAGAGCATCCTCTGGTAAGCTTAGATTCCTTAGGGCGACCAGGCTGATAATGTCGGCCAAGCTACCCGTATCAATCAATATTTGTTCGACCTTCAATTTGGCTATCTTCATAATGAATAGGAAAAATTGGAATTAGGTACCTCGAAAATAGGGGTAATTGAATTTTCATACCCGTTTAAAATTTATTTTTAAATTGGTACCTATAAAAACACAAAACTGTAGATTTCAGTACCTCCGTCCA